TGTAAACAAGCATTAGAATCTCAGCAGAAGGTGCTCAAGGATGAGCAACCTGACCTGGGGAGGTGGTTGAAAGCAAACTGAAGGGGTGCAGCAGGAAGCTGCGCCTGGTCATGTGCAGCATCCTAAAAACCTAAGCTCTGTGCCAGAATCTGTTGAGTGGTCTGAATCCTTGGCTGTGATTCCTCCTCCAACAGTCCTTTCAGCAAGTTGTCTTTCAGGACATACCCCTGAACCAATTCCATCATCTGATCAGCTGCTACTTTAGCAATATCCCCTGCTGAGGCACTTCTACTCTTCAAGAAACACTCAGTGAAATTTACAACAGGAAAGCAAAAACAATTAACATTGTGACAAAATATGTTAATTACTTCAAGAATTTTCAGTGAGGGATTCACCAATTACTCTCACTGTGGGTACCTGGAGGGCATTTCCTTAAGCCAATATTGCAGAATGACCACTGGCTAACGATTCTCATGACATTCTGTTCTGATGAATTATAGTTTTGATCCCATCTCTTAGCATGTAAATTGGAATTATGAATAAACAACAAATTCCATGAAGAACCATCAACTGGCAAAGAAAGGCCTGCCTGAGCAGTTCCTGGGCCTGTAAGAGCCACTTAGATCCCTCCCACACACGTGGCTGGGTTGATTTGGGATCAGGGTTACACTCCTGTGTCCCCATGAGGTTGTTGGGGTTGGGGAGTTTCCTGCAACTCAGTTGATTGATGTCCATTTCAGCCATTGCTCCAGAGAAAACGCTGCAAAGATAGCACTGCAGCATTTTGTTGGAGCTGCGGGGGGGGCAGCTTCCCACTAGTGGGCTCTCTCCTTGTCTCTTCTGGGCTCCTTATATGCCCTGCCCTTCCTCCCTGAAGTCAAGGCATCATGGTGCCTGCCTCTCTGGTGCTACTTGAAGGTAACTTTGCCGCTTCTTCCCTAGTCACAAAACAAATGCAAGGAGGAGGACGGGAGAACAGGTGGCTGGCTGGACAGCCGATCACTGAGTTTCCCACTGGTCAACTCACAAGCAACTTGGCAGCTAACAGTGAAGAAACTTGTGGGCTGCTGAGAGCTTCTTTCTGTAGGTGCCTTCAGTCTGCAGCATCCTGAAGGCCCACAAATAACCTTTCTTCTTCCAAACGTGTAAAGATACATGAACTGATAAGAAGTGAAAATCTCCCAACAACATCAGCAATTAGATGGTTTCCTAAAAGGTGGGCTATTGGAAACTGAGAAGAAAGATACAGTGCCCAACCTTCTGTGCAGCTTAATTCCATAACTTTGTGACAACAGTGAAGAATAACCAAAAATAACCCTGTATTTACCAAAAGTCCCCACCCTCAAATGTGACGGTGAAGGAAGAGTAAAAACATTGTGTTGAAGAAGGTATGTTTGCTATTGCTTAAAGGGATGTTCCCCTCCTCTTTCAAAGGAGGTCTTAACATTGTGGATATTCTTATGAAGTCTGGGTGTCCTTACCTGGACCACAGACTGTTGATTTAATTCCTGTTTTCTCCAGAACTGGGACTCGGTTGATAGCACCTTCAATATGCTGTGCAAATACATCCCAGTCCAGATTGAAGAGACCAAAGGCAAAATTATTCAACACCTGGAAGAGCAAAATACATATTACGGACACTGGGCACTGACCACAACATGTCAGCCACCAGAAGACTGACATAATAGACATGGTGGCAAATCAGGGTTCAGGGATTAGATTCCCCCCTTCCACTGCTTTTGAGTCATGCTTTCTCCTCCAAATGTTTCTTTCTTGCTGCACCCAGCACCACCACGGAGACCACCTCTGTCCACTTAGAACTTTGCTGGTGGAATGATTCGGAGACCCTCCCTGGATGACTGGCTGTCTCTTATTAATCAGAATCTTTTAATGAGAAATTTCCAAAAAAGCACATTTTATTAAATGTTCAGAGCTGAAAATAAAGCATAGTAACGTCCTTCCTTCAAAAGCACCTTCCTCAGCTTTCTCAATGGATTAGAACTCCTTATGGCACCTGGCTTCTTTGCAGTATTATTACATATCAAATCCCCTTATTTCTGAGCTACTCCAACATTTCCTTCCAAAACCTTCAAAACCCTTTTTCTTAGTCTTTCCTAATATTTTTTCCTATAATTTTAATTTCTTTAAAGTCAAAACTCAAAATTACTTGGGCTCTGCAGATACAGAAGTTTAACAGTCCTCTTTTAAAATGTATTTTTATTTCCTTATATCCTTATCATTTAGATGTTTAAGGCCACCCAACTCATTAATGACCCTGGGTGCAAGTCTAAAAAACCCTAATACCTAAAATCAAAGCAAAAGGAACCAACTTACATCGTAGCAAACCAGAATAGTACAATCTGGGTTGACGCCCCCCCCCGCCCCGTTCTATCCCAAAGCCTGGGGGAAAAGCCAGGTTTTCAAGGCTCAAGTAAAGACTGCACCCTCAGGGCAGCTTGGACTCCGGGGGGCAGGGAGGGGATGCTGTTCAAGAGGGCAGGCACTGTGACAGAGAAGACACACTTCCAGGGTCCCACCAGGTGGGTGGGATACAAAGCATGCCAACTCCATTGGATCATACCAAACAGGCAGAAACAAGGGGCGAAAGGCAGCCCTTCAGGTGCCCCCAGCCCATAGGGAGCTCTGTAGGTCCTAGCCAGTTGAACTGCATTGGCAGCTCAGTCTGCATGGCAGGGGTGTTACACGGGTGTATTAAGGTGTAGCTGTAACTGCTCACACCACTGCATTCTGGACCACACATAACTTCCAGGTGGCCCTCAAGGGCACTTTCTTCCCACATGTCCCTGGGCTAAGTGCCACCGTCTGACTTCTCTGGACCCCTTAACTCATCACCAGCAAGGCTTACACAAGGCTTAGCCTTCCCTGCCTTGTTTAACACAGGGCAGCTATGCAAGTCCTGCTTAATGCTCAGGTTCTCCACAACGGTGTCTCCAGCAATTCAACCAGCATGATTTCCCTAGAAGTGGATGCCATTCAGAGGCTGCTTGGGGAGCAAAATGACACAGTGGGTTTTGGCTGTAAAGTTGTTCTCTGGGAATACTCAGGGGTACATGAGCCAGCCCTGGCCTGGGGCAGAGTACAGCAAAGGCCTCAGGTCCCAGGTGGAACCACAGAGGTGCTGAGAAAAGATGGAAACTCCTTTGCCACACCTTCTGGAAAGCAAAGCCATTTGTCAAGTCAGGTCTTCCTAGAATCTTGATTGTCCATCTTTCTCTCAGATTCTTTGTAGACCCACACCTTGGAAATCAAGGTGTGTTTCCACTAACACAGGACTGGATTGGAAACGATCTTCACAGAGATCAATTCTTATGTGCTGTGTGTTATTTGTGACAAATGCAATTTTCATCTTTTTTTTTTTTTTTGCATTTGTTACCTGCTTTGAACATTTGCCCTCAACAGGAGCATGTCCACTCAGAAATCAGCCGGAACTAAAAGAGCCTCAGGACAGGAAAAGGTGATTGAGCCCTCTGCTTCACTGATTAAGCCTGGCCTCTTTGATGAATCAACTAAAGCAATGGTCTGTTAATCTGCTGATTAAATCAACCATTAACCGTTAATATTCATGCAAAAATCCATATAGCCATCCTGCATCTTCTGGAAATCAGTGCCAAGTTGCGACAGCCTGTCATTTCTCACCAAATGGCAGGCCCAGGGGTCAATGGGTTCTCTTCCCCTCAAAGAAGGTGTTATCACCAAGGCAGAACAAGTGGGCCATGCCACACAACAGACAAAGGTGGGTTTTTTTGTGCAACTCAAGTTCTTTCAGACACATGATACAATTACACAGAGCTACCATGGCATGTGACCTTGTGGTCACAATAGACAGGGGTCTGGCTACTAGGAATGTGGGTCTCTCTCCCCAGGTCCAATCCTGGAGGAGTCCATGTTCTCCAGCCTGGGCTCTTCCAAATCTGTTGCTGGGAGCGGGGAGGAGCAGGTGCAAAGCAGGCGTGAGAGGCAAAGAGGACCTCGAGGGTCTATAGCAGCTGTCCAGATGAGAACCCCCTTGTCCCACATGAGCATCTCCTCTGCTTGCCTGGAGAGATGAATCAAGACGGTAAATCATAATGTCTTGGTGGCTGTGATTTTTATATGTGCAAAAAACACCTGGTTCAGCACCCAGACACACAAACACAGACCCCCACACACACCAGCACTACTGCTTCTATTAACTTTCTTCTTGCTATTACTTAAAAATGCAACTCACCTCCTCCCAGAACACCGGGTTTGACTCATATCCACCCACAGAAAGGGCATCACCTTGGAGACGCAAATACACGGATGCATCATGGTCTCGAACATTCGGCATGTTCTAAAAATACCCAGAGAAAATTACTGCTCAGACTAAAAAATGCTCCCCGGGTCAGCATTTTCACTCTGAGGTTAGCTGTCTTTTGGCTGCCTCCTATCCTACCTGGCACCAGGGAAAGCTGAGTTGTGAAGTGGGCCTATGACCAACATTGTCAGAAAGATGGGGCGGCCTCTTGCTGAGCGCAGACCCAGAGATAAACTGATGTCTGGTTGTGTGGAGGATTCCTTCAAGGGGTCTCAATCCTTCACCATTTTGCCTACAGTCTCCCCGTCATGTGGCCTCTGGTGGTGGCAAGCTGAGGCAGGAGCAAGCTTGGGCTCCTCTTTTTCCTCCCCTCCTGAACCGCTGGGGAAGAAGGTCAAAGGCCCTTGGTCCTGCACAAGAGCCAATACTGCTGCCTGCAGAAGGAGCCCCTGCTACAGACCAGTTGCTCCTCGAGGCCCAAGGGAGTCATGCCCCCGGATCCACTGAGCAAGACTGCCAAGACCCGTCCCTCCCCAGCCCAGTGCCCCCCAGATGCATTGGCAGGACAGCTTCCAGAATCCAGGCCATTTTGACGGGGGACTCCAGGAGCCGTAGGGCAACCCTGAAGGACAGAGGGGGCCAGGCTCGGGACGGTGCTCCAGACCCCCCCAAGAGCCTCCAGAGTTTGCATTCTTGGCCTTCAGCTGAGAATCCTGTTTCAGAGCCTTAATTTTTTTTAGCTCTGAGGTTATTTTCTTTTGCTTTTCCACAGAACAGTATCTCCAAGTAATTCCAGAGCGCTGGTAAGTTTTAGAGTAGCCACAAAGCAAGGGCCACAGGAGACCTGCCTTGGCATGCAACCTCAGTGGGTGAGCGCTGCCAATCGTTCCCTCCCAGCCCCACCTAACCCCCAGGGCTGTTGTGAGGAAGCGGCTGCCTAAAGCCCCTGGGAGGAAGTCAGGACTGAAATCTAACCTCAGGATGGAAAAGAAAAAGAACACGGTCACCATTACAGGAAACTCCCCCTCATTTAATCCCCACAGCCTGGAAGGTGGGCTGCTGGGCCTTACAGAGCTTCTCCGGCAGAGGGCAGACTTGGCATCCGGCTCTCCCAGTCCCAAGCCGACGCTCCCCCCACCCCGCCGCCCCTGAGCCCACAAGCCGAACCGCAGAAGCTCTGCGGGGTCCAGGGTGCCCGGCCATCTCTGCCCTCCACGCTGAAGAGTAGCTGAGGCTGCCGCCCAGAGGCGCAAACCGCGATGCCCGTTTGCGGAGATCTGTGCCCGGCCTTGGAAGGCCCTCTAGTGGCAGAGGCCATCTCTCCCACGGCTGATCGGGGACTTCAGAGCCATTCCTCTTCACAAAATTGCCTCCACTGAAGATTTTCTCGATTCTTGTGAAACATACATATGCACTATATTATTTGTACAATATTGACTAAAGATTATTAGCCCCCTAATGTTCAGATACCTTAGGTCACTAAAGATAGAAAAAGAAGGTATTATATCAGTATGAAGGGTGACTTAAAATGTCAGTGTTAATAGGCATAAGATTATTTAGCTTTTTCATCCATATAACATGAATATAACCTTAGAAAACCACTGCAAAGGACATCAAATTATTTGTTGTACGATAAGGTTTTCTGTCTTAAGCTAATTACTTAGTATTAAGTAATTGTATTGTTACTTATTATTATTTGTGCATGTTGAAGAAAAAAGAATAGGCAAGGCAAATTTGACAGTGACTGAAAAGAAAAAGAAAAAAGAGGGGGAAAAAAGACCATTTGGTTTCTTTTTGTGCTTCTGCTAATTCACAATGTTAATAAACATTTAGGTCCCCTTAGAAGCTAAATTGTGCATTGGCCATACTGCATAATATATTGTATTTTTTTTGTATGTGTGCACCCAATGTGGTAAAATGTTCCTTCTGTTTCATAGCATTTCCAACATTACTGAATTATTTATCTATTATTGATTGAGTTGCACACCATCGGTAAAACATTTTATACCAATTTTAAGTTGTAGCTTGGAGTAAATTTTATAGATTTTAGTCCACAATTCTTCCCATTGTTGTACTGTGACTGTTTCTTTGAAATTTTGCATCTATTTTATCATAGTTTTTTATTTGTTCTCTCACTCTGTCATATCTGAGTAAGAGTTTATATATGTGCCCTAACAAATGGTATTGGTTTCGTATAAGCGTTTCAAATTCTGTCATTTTGTCTTAATGTCCCTCCTTCAGTCTTAAGATCTGACTGCACCTTCCAGCAACAAGACATCAACCGTGGTATATTCCAGCTCTCACTGAGTACCTCTTGCTGTGTCCTTAATCTATTCATTGAGTCTGAATGAACCGTCTCTGCATATGGAATTACATTGGTCTTACTGTAATTATCTTCAACATGGAAAGCATTTGTAGGAGAAGCTAAGGATGAAATGGTTGGTCTTATTATTCCCTTTGCAGAGAGCCGGTTTGGTCTAGTGGTGAAGGCCCCAGGCTAGAAGCCAGGAGATGGCGAGTTCTAGTCCCGCCGGAGGCACGAAAGCCAGCTGGGTGACCATGATGGGCCAGTCCCCCTCTCTCGGCCCATGACATCAGGCTCGGGCGACAAGCCAGTCAGTCAATCCCTGTTGCAACCAACGGATCAACATTCAGCTGTTCCTAAAAAGTGGAGCCTGCACCTGTGGGAAAAACACTAGGAAGAAAAAATATTATTTCCTTTGTAGAGTTCCGTACTTTTATCAAACTTTGTCTAATAATATGTCTTTTTAAGTTTTTATCCTCCTGTATCTGTGAAGTCCGTTGGCTCCTTCCAGTATTGCCATTCTTCTATTTGGGAAGGTTACCCACTGTTATCCATGACAAGCAACTTGCTTTATCGTACAATTTAAAGTTTGGAAGGGAAAGACCACCTCTCTTTTTGGAATCTTTTTTTTTAATTAGTTTAACTCTAGGTCTTTTCCAACTCCGTAAGAATTTTTTGACGGTTTCTTGCCATCCTTGCAAAGTTCTCTTTGAGATTTTGATTGGCGACGTTTGAAACAAATAGTTTATCCTGGGTAATACATTCATTCTGATAACTGCAATTGATCCTAACCAAGATGGCTTTAGCTTCCTCCACCTTTCAATATCTCTTTCGATTTCTTGCCATAATTCAACACAGTTATTTTGATATAATTCTTGATTGTTGCCTGTCAGATGCGGACCAAGATATTTTCCTGAGTGAACTATCTGACAGCCAGATTCTTTCTTTCTTTCTTCTTTCTCCTTTGCTTTTTGCCATTGGTATATACTTTTAACCCTAGCTTGAAACTCTTTGTGGTTCATTTTGATACAGCCAGTAGGAATGGCTGCTGCAAAGACTTTTTCCACATCTAAAAAGATGAGTGCAGCTTTCTTCTTTTCTGTTGTTTATATGTTCTATTATATTGATTATAAACCTACTGCTATCCTTGATATTTCTCTTTGGGATAAAACCAGTTTGGTCAATATGTAGTATATCTAAAACACATCTCTTCAACTGATCAGCTAATATTGTTGTAAAAATGTTGTAATCTACATTCAGCAAGGAAATTGCTCTATATGATTGTGGTTTCTCTGAATCATTTCCTTCTTTGTAAATCAAAGTTATCATAGAATCATAGAATCCTAGGGTTGGAAGGGACCTTGGAGGTCTTCTAGTCCAACCCCCAGACCAAGGCAGGAGTCCTCATACCATCTTGGACAAATGATTGTCCAGTCTTGTCTTTTCTTGAAAACCTCCAGTATGCCTCTTCACATGTTGGTGTTAAGGACTTTTTAAAAGATCACTTGTAACAACAGCAAAAAGGTGAAGGCATGTCAAGTGGAGCTTGACTTCCGGTGATGGCATCTCTGCAGTTTTCTTGGCAGTGTTAGGGGGGGGGGGGGGGTCCATTGCTTCTCTCCAGGGCTTTGATTTTCAGCTTCCAACTCTGGCCAACAATCCTGGAATTCCCAGGTAGTTTCCATCTAAGAACCAACCAGGGCTAACTTTGGTCAGCCTCTGAGATCAGGCCAGGCTCGTTACGGGGTGATGCAACACCTTTTTAAGGGTTTCAAACACCAGGTGACCTTCAAGATTGTTTCTTACAAACTAGAATTTGCTGAACAGAATCCAACCCCTTTTTTCTTCACAACTTGTACAATGTACATAACAAGAGGAAAAGCAGCCCAAACTCTCTCTCATACACACACACACATTATCTGCCTATCAAAAGTATATGTGTAATAATAGAGAAAGGACCAGACAAGCGGGGGAAGGGATCATAGCACATAAGGGTTGGAAGGATTTTTGAAGATCATCCAATCAAACTCCTACCCAGGGCAGGAATCCACTCCAACAGCATCCCTGACATCCAACCCGTATCCACTTGCCCAGTGAAGGGGAGCTCCCCGCCTACCAAGGCAGTCTATTCCACTGACAAACAGCTCCTCATTCTAGGGTGTGATTCCCAAACCCAAATCTCCTTCCTTGAAATCTAACCTATTGTTTCTTCTCCTGTCTTCTGAAAGAACTGTAAACACTGTTGTCTCATCTTCTACATGGCAGCCCTTCAGACACTTGAAGACAGCCATTAAGTCTCCCTGCAGTCTTCTCTTCTACAGGCTTAAGATACCCAACTCCTTCCTCCTAAGTTTTTCCTTTCAGGCCTTCCTCATCTTGGTTGCTGTCCTTTGGATATGGTCCAGTTTGTCAATGACGTACCAAAAATGTGCCCAGAACTGGATGTGTTAGGAGTGGTCTGACCAAGCCAGAATTAAGAGGATGAGGGCATCTCTTGATCTTGATGCTGTATTTCTGAAGATGTAAGTTGGGACAGCCTTTGCCCGTTTTTGTCCATATTCAGCTTGTGAGCTACCAAGACACCCAGATACTTTTCACAGTATAGTTCCCTCCCATCCTGAACATGTGCCTTTGATTTTCCCTACCCCAATGTAGGGGTTTGCATTTGTCCCTGTTGAAATTCATTCTACTGCTTTCTGCTCACTATTCTAGCTGACCAGAATCCTCCTGAATCTGCGACTGCCTTCTATTCCTCCTATCCTTCAATTAGGTAGAAAGAAATCAAAGGCATGAGTAGAAGATTGGGGAAACTTTAGTGGGCAGCAGAACATACAAAAAGCATCTGAATGTCTTGGTGGGCCACAACCTGAGCCAATAGTGCAATCCAGCTGCAAAAAAGCAAACGTGATCCTTGGCTGAAGTATAACATCAAGATCAAGAGCAGTCATCAGTTCTCTCTGTTCCGCATTGATCATACCACACCTCAGTATGTCTCTAGTTCTGGCCACCACATTTTAGGAAGAATACTGACAAACTGGTGTGTGTTCAGTGGAGAACAACCAAGGTGACAAGGGCCCTGGACAGAAAAACATGTAAGGAACAGTTGGATTTTCTATGCTTCCAAAATTCTGTATAAGTATTAGAGCTATGGATATGCTTTACATTTGAAAAAATATACCTGCAAGCAAGGTTAAGTATTCTCCCTGCCCAGTGAGTAGCGGGAAGCAGGCAGGCAACCAGATAAACAGGCAGGAAATTCGGGTTCACCCTTCCCCCCCAGGAAGCATCATGGGATCACATTTATAGTCCAGAGAGAGATGGTAACCCTGACCTGAGAAGGAGAGAAGGCCAGGGCACCTCAAGAGCTTCTGGGCTGTGTGTGCAATGAGAGTGACAAAGAGAGCGTCCTCCCACAGTGCAAAGATTCTTAGAATCAAGATAACTAAATGCCCACTACCTGAATCACTCAGTAGCAACTGCTGTTACTAATGTTGGCATCCTACCCTTGGTCCAGCCCACAAGGATAGAAGCTCAGCAGAGAGCTACTAAGAACCCCAGACTTAAAGAAAACAGTCCCCCACAGACTGACCTGGATCCCCTCGATCTTTTCTGTCACCACGTAGGCATGGTGCATGGCCACCAGGGGCACCTTGACGCCAGCCATTTCCCCCAGGGCTTGGGCCCACACACCTGTGGGAGAAGGAGAACAACTGTGGTCATCAGAAGGGCCCTCAAGATAGGCATTGCTGAAGTTGGGGACCTGGCTTTGAAGAGGAAGCCGAGAAGGGGAAACTAGATCAAAATGAAGCTTGCCTGGTAGCCCTGGTGTGCTCAGAGTGGCTGCTAAATTAGAAAAAACTATTTTTGTAAATATTCTGATGATAGCACAGAAGTGGGAGGTCAAGCCCTGCCATCGTCTCTCTTTTATTGATCAGCTCATGAAGTTATGAATGGATGTTGCAGAAAGCATTCCCTCATCATCACTAAGTCAGCAAACAAGGGGAGCAAATAAGAGTTTGGCAAGAGAGCTGGAAGGAGAGGAAAGCGGGGAAAGGCGGCTGACTATGTCCTGTTCCTGACTGACTGCTAACTCTGGCCACCTGCTGCTGACACTCTCCTGAGGGCTGATGATGATCAAAGCATTTATCCTGTTGACCAAACTGAGGCAGTTCAGTGGGCATAAAAGGGCTAGGGTTGGCATTAGGGTTTCCCCAGAGCGAGTTCCCTGAGCAAGGAAATCAGGGAGAGAAAACAGGGGTTGGGGGGAGGCCAGGTGGGAGTGTGAGCTACTTCTCACTTGCAGAGGCGGCTTCTGGGAGCTCAGATTCAGGGGATTTTTGCATGGGAATTTTGCTGGGAGAGCTGGCAGGAGAGGCTCCAAGCAACATGGACAGTGAGGACCTATCACTGTAACATGCAAAGTGTGGGCAATGACTCAAAGTGTACCTGCTGCAGGTACAAACTCATCGCCCAATCGGAAGGGACTTGAGAAGAGAGCTGCTCCACTGAAATGCCTCAGGGAAGGGAATAATGTCCTAGACAGGACAAGAGGGGCAGAGGAGTGGAGTGCCCCATCACATCTTCCTTTCTCCATTTTTGTTCTCTTCTAGACATCTGGCACTTTGCTGGTTCTCCTGGACTTTTCAAGCAAAATATCCTTTCAGTTCCCTAGGATGCAATCATGGCTTGGAGATTTAAATGATTAGGGTATTTCAGTTTACTACTTAGTTCTACCATCATTCAATCCTGCCCCTTCATCCTGCCCCTTTTAATTTCCTGATGGAACATACAGGTTGTTGTTGAAGACCGAAGAAAGTAGAACTTGAGTAGCTCTAGCTTTTCTTTATTACCTCTTAGCATCTGGCCCTCTTCACCAAATAGCTGTTAAACTTCTCTCCTTCCCTTTTCATTTTGAACAAATCCAAAGAAGCCAGGGAGATACTCCACCACAGTATCTCCCTGGTTCTTCATAGACCTATGCTTCCATGCAGAAACCCAAACTAAACAGTTTGTTCTCACTTTGTTGATAAGGAGCTCAGAGATGGGGTTAGTTTAGGTTCTCATAGGAAAAGAGGGGACTGCAGGTGGGTATCAGATGCCCATCTCCATCAGATGGGAAGTAAAAAATAATCTGAGAGGATTCTGGGGAGAAGAAGTGGAGTGATGAAGGATCTGGCTGGTAGTTAAAGGGGTTATAATGGTTAACATGGATTAGATAGCTCCAGTGGCTACTGAAGATGGGCTGCTGTTGGTTTCTATCCAGAGTATTTATTTATTTATTATTAAATTTCTCCCCACCCATCTCCCCCAGTGGGGGACTCTGGGCCGTTCACACAAACATTAAAACCATAAATACATAAAACATAAAAATTTTAAAACATTACTAAAAAAGAGAAAAAGAGTCCAAGAAGATGATGAATGATCTGGGGCTGAAGACAGCAAGCCTCTATGGGGCTAGCCATCCCCATGCTTGAAGTATTCCTTCCCCATCCCAGGCCAAGTGACAGAAGCAGGTCTTCAAAGCCCTCCGGAAGGCCAGGAGTGAGGGGGCCAATCTCACCTTCGAGGGCAGAATATTCCAGAGAGCGGGGGCTACCGCAGAGAAGGCCTGACTCCTAATCGAAGTTCTCTTACTGCGGAGGTCTGAAGCATGCCCTCTGTGTGATCGAGTGGGACAGGCTGAAGTCATGGAGAAGAGGCAGTCCGTTAGGTAACCTGGTCCCATGCCATGTAGGGCTTTAAAGGTGATAACACCTTGAATTGGACCTGGAAGCAGACTGGTACCCAATGCAGCTCGTGGAGCAACGGCATTACATGGGCCCTTCTTGGGGCTCCAAAAATAGCCCAAGCGGCGGCATTCTGGTGATTCAAGGTGATGGTTTTGACCTTTAAAGTCCTTCATGGCATGGGGCTGGATTATTTGTGGGACCACCTTCACCTGATTACGTCTAACCATGCTTCTGGCAGAAGAGGTATGTTGCGGGTCCTGTCTGCAGAAGAATTTCACCTGGCGGGACACAGGAGACAGGCCTCTTCTGCCATGGCACCCGCCCTGTGGAATATCACCCTGAGGTGAGATTGGCTCCATCCTTGATGTTCTTCCAGAAGGCCCTCAAAACATGGCTGTGTCAACAGGCTTAGGGATCTCATAGAAATGGTGATCTAATGAGATGGCTGCATTGTTTTTAACATCAATCTTTCTCTACTGTCTTGCTATTAATAATATTGTTGATTTTTTAAAATTATACTTATTTTAATATTTTGATTTTACCATTTTTTTTAATTATGTGCCACCTAGAGTCACTTTTCTGTGAGATGGGCAGCTATAGAAATATGATAAAAAATTAAATTAAATTAAATTAAATTAAATTAAATTAAATTAAATTAAATTAAATTAAATTAAATTAAATTAAATTAAAT